TGCAACCTTGGCTGCAATCATGTGCCATTTTTCCTAATGACCACACAGGACCTGCCTAATGATGACCACAGGAATGCTACAACTGCCATTGTAATTCAGTGTGGTCATAGGGCACTTTGCGATGCAGTCCTAATTGCCATTGGTAAGCAAGGACTACTTGAATAGGAACTAAATAGCAATATCACATAGACTTATATACTGCTTTACAGTGCCTTACAACCCTATCTAAACAGTTTATAGATTCAGCATATTGCCCCCAACAATCTGGTTATCATTTTACCCACCTTGGAAAGATGGAAGGCTGAGTCAACCTTGAGCCTGGTGGGATTTGAACTGCCAAATTGCAGTCAGTTGGCAGTCAGCAGAAGTAGCCTGCAGTACTGCACTCTAACCACTGCTTTGAGCAAAGGTTAGCAAACATTTCCCTCCTTCCTGAACAGCTCCACATACAACTTCACATACTGTCTTATTAGTTTTGATGGTCCTAAGATTGCTACTTGCTGTTTCTCTGGTGCTGTGTTCAGCACTGAGAACTGCGGAAACCACATAGAAATACAGGCAATTAGTTTGAAGACCTGTCATGATGCAAAAAGTTTGACTACAACTACTCTTTGGGATCATTGGAAGAGACAATTTGCCTTCAGTGATAGAATTTATATGTAGAAATCATTGATGTCATTCTAAAATAAGAGTCAGCAATTTGTCACTGATTGGTAGTGAAGTTGGATCTAAGTTTTAAAATTATACAGTAGATCCTACATCTAGTCGTCAATGTGACTTAGCTACCAAATTGAAGTTACAATGCACTCTGAAAAAGCTACTTATGACACAGATGTCCTGTCACAGGCCAAGCACAGGCACACATGAGGCAATTGCAGACTTTTAGTTATAATGTAACAAAAAATCATGCTTGTAACCAAATTCCCACCAGTCTAGCAACTTGGATAAATAAAGAATTTCAAGTTCCAGGGAGTCAGCACAAGAGGGGTCAAATGGTTCTGGAATCATTTGATCACCAGGCATAGAAGAGGTTGTGACTGGTCAGTTCCCAAAAGCACAAGGCAAAGAAATGAGGTGAGGCAAAACGAGGCAAGGCACAAAGAGTTGGAGTAATTGAGGATTGTTTCTGATATCAGCCCTAACCCCAAGCTCCTCAGAACAGCCTGGTGTGTTGGCCTCAGAACCCTGGTCAATTGGCTGTTCAACTGGCATCAACTGCTCATCTTTCATAGATATCTCAAGAGCTAGCTCCATATCATTGTCAGACTCAGAATCCAAAGCCTTCATGACACTGGATTCAAAGTTCCAATATTTGGGTGCCCTCTTCTGTCACATAATCACATGTTGAGCTGTTGGCAACTGGCCCATATTTATGGCTGCTTCAAGTATCATATGATCACAATTAAGTAATCCTAGACTTGGTACTGTAATGGAGCCTGCCCATTACAGTTGTAGGTCATTGAAGTCATGAAGTGAAGCATCCATGTGATCGCTTTGCTCAATTACTAAAAATTGCTTAAAAATGGAGCAAAAGAGCTGCCTTTTGAAAGAGAATAGGCAGCTCCCTTGTAGGCACAGAACCGATGTGCTGGGCTGGAGAAAGGAAGCTTTGGAACACAGTGATTCGAGTTAACTTTCTCTAGCCAAGTACTTTCCTCTCATTCTTTCTTTCTAGTTCAGGGTAGGGAGCTGGTGTGATGCACTGGATAAATGATACTAGGAGAGTTTCATTTTTCTGGAACAGCATAGCAATTGCCTTATCCTCCCTGGATTTTCTAGCCCACAGTGGGGAAGGGAGCTGATGCACTGTACTGTAAAAACAAAGCAACTTGAAACCTTCCCTGCTGGCTTCTCAGCTGACTTTCTGAAGAAGCCAGAAGGGAAAATTTGCAAATGCTAATCACATTTCACAGAGAGATTAGCAACCTATTGTAAGTGCACAACCACACACCCAGATCATAATCATGTGGCTGCAGGGGCACTGCAGTGACCATAATTTCAAGTAATGATTGTAAGTTCCTTCATTTAGCACCACTGTAATTTAAACAGTCATTGAATGTAATTGAGGACTACCTGCATGACAATTTTGCTGGAAACTGGCATTTATTTCTGATTTCTTGGAAAACTGCCCGATAATAGAAGTAGTACTTACAACACAATACAATACAATACAATAGCAGAGTTGGAAGGGACCTTGGAGGTCTTCTAGTCCAACCCCCTGCCTAGGCAGGAAACCCTCTACCGTTTCAGACAGATGGCTATCCAACATCTTCTTAAAGACTTGCAGTGTTGGGGCATTCACAACTTCTGGAGGCAACTTCTGTTCCTCTGCTGTGTGTGTGTGTGTGTGTGTGTGTGTGTGTGTGTG